TCCAACCCAAACCGTTCCATGATTCTGTGACCCACTGTTGTGCTCCAGTCCCAGGAAGACACCGGCAAGCCTGTCCCTACCTCACCCCCAGTCTGCTCCCTGAGATGGGCACAGGTCACCATGTTCAGACCCACCCTCATCCCCCGCAGCCCCAGACAGAACAGCTCGCACACAGCAAAGCTCCGCAGCCTTTGGAGGGATTGGGGTTTTTTTTTTATTTCAAAAGACAGTAAGACAATTTTTCAATTTAGTATCAAAACACTTGATAGGGTTTTCTTTTCTCCAGATTGGCCCCTAAAACTGCTACAACCAAGCAGCATGCTCCAACCACAAGCCGCGAGCTTGACACATCTCCAGACTCAGGCCCCACGACGACTACACGGCAGCGATGCACAGCGGGGTGGCTTGTACCTCAGTAAGACACTAAGAGCGCCCCTGGCCAGGGAGGCCGTGGTTCCCTCCCTCAGGGGAGGCAAAAAACCAACTTTTCTAAGAAAACAAGGCTGTTAAGTGTGACCCAGCGATGGGCGATAAAGCTTGGTGCGTCAGCACTTAGTGAAGGCAAATTCAACCCCCGTGTAGCAATGGGTTAGAGGGGCCATGGCTTCTCCAAGCCGACCAGGAGAGGAAGTGGTCAACAGCAGCAGGGGGAAGGGAAACAACCCTTGTGAAGGTTCAATTGTTCAGATAACAGGCTTAGCTTTAAAAAAAAGAAAAAAAAAAAGTCTCCTTTCACCCAAGTTGCTTCTCCACAACACGGAGTTACCTTAAAGCTGAGAAACTGAACTGCTCTTTTGGTAAACAGCTCCTGGAAAGGAAGTCTTCTCCCAGCTGGCTTCCATCCCTAGCCTTGCTACTCCGATTCAGTGGCCCACAGCCAGAACCATCACACCCTCTTTCCTCCCCTGCCAAAGCAGGGTGGCCCGGAGCTGATTAACAGAAGGTTAATACCAAATTTTAAAGCCAAGAGCTTTGAAGTGTAGCTCCCCAGCCTCATGAGTTAATTTGGAATGTTTACAATGGTCGCTACAAAAAAAAAAAGGTAGTTACAAAATGTATACATCTCAAACATGCTCCCCAAACATTATTGCATTGATTATTTCCCTTAATAATGCTGTCTGAAGCTCTGCCCAACCTGATGGCCTTTAACCCCGAGGCAAAGGAGAAGATTTGCGTTTGGTCAAGTTGGCAACAGAAAGTAAACTCTGGTCTCCAAGGGTTAGAGGTCAGCAGCGGCTGGGCTGGCCCCTGGGCATCGTGTGGCAGAGGCAGTGGCAAGGATCCATTACATCTCGTTCAGGTCTAGCAGGGTCTGGTCCAGCATTCTTTGCGTGCAGAGATGCTCCTCTTTGGTGGATTTCAGTTTATCTGGCAGAAAGCAAGAGCCGAGAGTTACAAGTCAGCTTCAGACAACCAAGAAACCTTCTCCACAGAAAGCTTGCGCTAGCCCCTTCCCAGCACGCTGCCGCAGCAAGTCCTCAGACCGGGGGTGCCTGAGTGCAGCGAGAAGCTCTGAAGTTACCTGGCTCGTTCGTAGCCCTTGCCTCTTGCATTGCCAGTGCTCCCAGTCGGCACGGTCACGACGTACTTTTAGCCAGCGCTCTAGGCAGTGTTTTGCATGCAGGTGCCTCTGACTGTAGCTAGCTTTCCCCAGGGCTTCCACACTTCCAGACAGCAGACCCCCGTGACCCAGCAAGGCACCCAAGAGCAACGCAGAGATGAAGTACGTGTAGAAATCACCCCCTGGAGTTACAGCTGGTTGTGCCCCCCCCCTTCCCCCTGGCACAGGACAGAGATGCCAAGCTGGTCACCGAGACCGTAACTACCTAGCAGCAGGGAGCAGACAATCATGCCTCAAGGACAGTGGGGAAGAGGCTGTTTTTGGTGAAGGACAGGCAGGGAGCAGGTAGGAGCAAGGGTGCTGCAACTCTGCCTGAGACTACAGGCAACTGCGCAGTCGGTTCTCACATGTTCCTTAAGCCAGGAGAGCAGCTCAGATCAGCGACTAGCGCTCTAGGTAGGCTTTAATCCAAAGGTGAGCCCACCCTGATCACTGAAGACGTCCACACGCTGGGACACTGGACAGACAGGCTGTAGAAAGATGTCCTTTAGGTACAGGCAGTTTCTCAAAGCCACTCCTTAACCTCCCCAGGGTCAGAAACTGTGCACAGACTGAGAAGCAGCCTTCCTAGAGCACTAGCAACTGCAGTATTTAGAGATCCCCTGCAGGCACTCAAGACACAGCTTCAAGCTGTGGATTTTAGGACTTGCTTTGAAGATATCCATGAGCTTTCCCAACCCGTTCTGAGGCTCTGCAGCTGCACGAGGGTCAGGCCCCAGGAACGACCACCTCCCCCAAACTAGGTTAGGGCTCAACTACACAGGAAAGTACTACAGGTGTGCAGTGTCTTACAGACCCACGAGGTCAGCGATTTATTGTTAGAAGCCATCATTCCATGCAGCAGGAAATCCTACAGTCATACAGCTAATAGTAAGTTAAGTTGTAGCACTTGACAGGCGTCTTCTAGCCAACACAAGCCTAACTTCAGCCCACCCCTCTCTTGGTGGGTGCAGCCATTCTGCTTTCATGGAGGAGCCAGGGAAGACCCCCCTGGACAAGCGAACAAGACTGCTCAAAAACCAGCCAAGTCCGAGGGTTACTGCACCAAGAATAGAGGTTACCTTTATAAAAAAAAAAAGCAACTCTTAAATAAATTAGAGGATCAATTCAAGTGCCCCATTAAACAGCAGCAATTGCATAAGACTTGCAAGTCTGCCAGTCTCAAGAATGCTCAGATTTCACTGTGGTCCACAGCATTGGTGGTCGCAATAAGCTCGTTTAATGGCATTACTGGGCCCCCTTCTCAGTCACACAGATCATGCAGCGTTAACTTCAGCTCGTTAGAGAGCAGGCGGTTTTTCTCAAGCTGGCTGTACAGGCGTTCTGCAGCAGCAACAGGATTAGGGGAAACAAGAGGAAGAGAGAAAAAGAGAGAAAGGGAATGTTAGTAGAGTACCAGGATGAGCACATCAAATCAACTGTCTCCACAACGTGTGCCTCTGAGGATCGAGTCTGGGCTGTCACATGGACAAAGCCCGGGAGAACAAAGGTTTGTCTTACTTTAACTTGTGTTTCAGCTCAGGAAGATCACAGAGGAAACCAAGTGCAGGCAGAAACAGAAGTGCTGCCAAGGGCTTGCGAAGGCGAAGTAAGGAAGAGGAGAACAGCAGAAGATGAGCCTGCAGACTGGGCTGGGCTGTGCCCGAGTAAGGAGAGACTTGTGATATGCTTTAAGCCTGTGGAGCACTTTGCAGAAAGTAGTCCTGCTGCAGCTAAACCAGGAGCACCGTCCAGAGCGAGCCCACATCGCACCACAGTGGGATTGATGGTTTTCACAGTAGAAAACCAAGGCTGATAGCGCCTCATATCTGACCTTGAGGACACTCCTCCAAGGACATGCCTTTATGCCACAACAACGACCCACCATGTTTACACAAGGCCTGAAGGCACTATCTGCTTCAGGACAGGAGTAGGTCTGGAGCACAGGCTCCTATTTCACATCTGCACCAGAACAACTAAAAGAGCAGGGCATAAACCACCACGGCATCCGACAGCCTTCACCTCCCACCCAGTCCCTGTCCTCAGCAGCCACACTCATCCCCAAGGCTGGTACCCAGCACACGTGCTCATCAGCACCTCCGGGCAAAGGGAGAACCAGTCTGATCCTCTCCCAGGACAGGTCACCTCTCAGGGCTGGATGGCCACTGTCCTGCCATGCAGCCTGTCGGGCACAAACAGCCACCACAGAGAACCAGTTCAGCATCTATCTCTGCCCATCTACACAGGCACGGTGCTCCAAGCCCAACAACTCCAATTCTGAAATTTGGGGGAATTCCAGGCAGCGAAAAATCCTTCCGACAGCTTCCAGCCTGGCAGAACTAACCATCACCGACTGTGGCGATACGCGCAGCACGCCGCCTCTGCCTGGGGAGTGGGCATAAAGCACAGCAACTCTTGGTGGCCTCAGGCTTCTTCTCAAACCCTTGTACTGCAAGGTCCCCAGGAATCTAGGGCACCCTCTGAAGGGATCCACACCATTCCTCATTGCTTTCAACTTAGGAATATTTTGCTCTGGAACAAGACCTGGCCAGGTAAGATTCAGGACACTCAGTCAAGCTGTTCACACGGAGCAGCAAAAGCACATCCCTCTCCCCAGAGAGTCTCAGCCCAGTCCCTCCAGTGTGACAACCACACACGAGAGGGGAAGCTCACCTTCACCCAGTTACCCTCAGCACCTGCTCTAGCTGCACCTCACTCTGCAGGACAAGTCGTGCTGATTGATTGTCCCTTCTTTAAAGCCACCGAGGGACCAAGCAACAGCCAGAGAAGCCAACGATTTCTGTCCCACCACAATCTAACTAGAAGTTGAGGGACGTTGTGGTACAGGGGTTGGGTACAGCCCATCCTGGCCTACCTTGTGTACCAGCTGCTACTGCTGCTAGGGACTCGCTCTCCGACTTCCCCACGGGCTCTGAGCAGGTAGGCTGGGCACCCTGATGCCAGTCTCCAGCCCCAGGTGATTGGGGCTGGTCCTGGGTCTCCAGAGTGGCAGAGGATGGGAGCGAACTGCAGTCAGAAGTACTGGTGACTGCAGGCTGGTCCAACGGCTCCCAGCCTTCAAGCAGGCATTACTGCTTGTGGACAGGGACCTGACAGTCCACCCGCACGAGGGAGCGGACAGACTGCAGTAATTAGCATGACCCTTCCTAGACCTCAGGAACAGCTCCTCGACATGGAATGCTTGCCCAGGTCTGCTGGGACTCGCTCCAGTGTTTGGCCTGCTCCCTTCTCCACCCAGCCCCCAGGGCAGCCTTACCAGGGGCGACCTGGGGCCTCCAGGACCTGTGCCTCCTGGTCAGCTAATCTGCATTTGCGGCACTCCTGAGTCAACAGCCCAGCTCACGGTAACCAGCCTGCACAAGCCGAGCAACCCAGTCAGACCAGACGCTTCTCAAAGCCTCCCAGGACAGAAGTTGCATCACCCACCCATCCATCCATCTACTGCCTAGCACGGAGTTCCAGCAGGAGAGGCCGGGCTGCGGCAGGCCCGTCGATAACATCGCTTGCAACACTGCTGTGCAACAGCAGAGCCACCAGCTTCGCACAGCGCGAGCCAGAGGCAAACCCACCGATGACAGGACCTCCCCGCGAGCAGAGAGGCCGTTTCACAACAGCAGGGTGCCACCTCCCACCTGGTAAGAGCTGGCAACCCAACGCTGGGCTGGAAGCCTCCCACACCTGGATGCTTATGACAGAAGCCCTGTGTTGTGTCCCCACCCCTTCCTCCCAGATCTAGACCCCTACTCCAGCTGCAGGTTTTGTGGGGTCTTGCTTTGTGCTTACAAGGCAGAGAGCTCCATACCCCAGGAGAGTCAGACGACCATCTACCAGC